AGATAATTACGTTAATCAAACAAAATTAAAAAAATAACAAAAATAAATAAATAATAATACTACGTTAATTTACTGTCAACGACAATACAAATACATAAATGTATAGTCAACGGCAGTACAATTACGTTAATGTACTGTCAGTGACAGTATTATTACGTTAATTTACTGTTAGTGACTGTATAATTACCTTTAATGACAACACAATTACGATCAACATTTAGCGGCGGACGTTTAAAAAAAAAAAGTCAACGCCGGAATCCGGCGGCAGAAAAAATAGACCAGGACAAAAAATCGAAAAGTCAACACCGGAATCCGGCGGCAAACAAATATTTTTTGATTTTTTTTTTTTTTGAAAAAAAAAGTCAAAATTGAATTTTTGTGGTCAAAATTGATTAAATTGGGGTTACAATTAAGAATTGGGTGTAAAGGGTTGGGGATAATTTTGTCATATACATGAATTCTTTATTTTTAATAAATATTAAAGGGATGGACTTATTGGTAAAAGAGATATGGGGTTACAATTAAAAATCGGGTTTAAAAGGTTGGGGGTAATTTTGTCATATACATAAATTTTTCCTTTATTTATAATAAATATTAAAGAGATGAGTTTATTGGTGAAAGAGATATAACCCCTAAACCTAGATTAATAAAGATGATTGGTTAGGAACTTATGCACAAAAGCCCCGAGATAATTTTTTTTTCCTTTTAACAAATTAGTTGATCTAGTTATGGTAGTGACAAGGGCTCGTTTTGCATGTATTTTATGCAATGTTTTTAGAACCGGACCGGCTATAAAACCGGAGGTCATGGGTTTATAGGGTCGAACCGATTCAACCAGGTTTTTGATTTTTTTAATATGCCAATTAATTTTAATGTTTTGAAAATTAATTTCTTTATATTTTTAATCTATCACTTATTATTTTCACTTTTATCTACTTCACCTCACTTTTTACTCTATTTTATTGATTGTACTCTATATTTTTTTCATTTTTTATTCTTAAAATCCGGCAATCGGCCACCCCTATTCGATCACCCATGATCATATCCTACAATCCTTTGACAACTGATGACTAGATCTGGCCACCCACTACTAAGTCCGTCAAGGATCGCTCAAATCTAACCACAAATAAAAACCTCAGTGGTGATTCGAGACGTTTTGGCCGAAAATTGGTTTCTTTGACTGACTCGTCGGTTCTCGGGTTTTACCCGTTCGAACCGGATTTTGGTCATTGACTCTGGTTTTCGATTTTTTCGGTTTTAGATGTCAGACCGGACGACTTTATTGCCGGGTCACGGTCGAACCACTCCGACCGGCTGGTTCGGTCCGGTTCTAACAACATTGATTATATGCTATTATGTATCTATGTACTCTAATTTCTTTTATTTATTTTTTTGCGTTCGTTCGTGGTTTTTGTCTTTTTTTTTTTTTTTTTTTTTTGTATATTGTATTTCTGTGTTTTATTTAAAGTGGTGCTATTTCCACCTCCAAAGTATCTCAATTCACCACCAAATATTATAAATTATCATAAATACCATCAAATTTTTAATCCACTACCCTTCCTTATATTCACTTAATCGTCACGTCACGTGTTCTAAGTTATTTCTATTTTATTTTATTTTTTTATATTATAATTTTTTTTTTAGTTTTTTTTTTGCAATGAAATATTTATCACAAGATATTTAAACTTCCATATCATATGATCCACAGATTATGTAATTTTGTTTTTGGAGACATAATTATATTAAGCCAAACTGGCGAATTCTGGAAGAAGTTCAGGACCTTCCATACAAGCACTCTTAATTTATTTCTCCAGAAAGGTGAATTCCTGCTCGTTTTGACCTTCGGAAATGTTTTTCTCTGACGAAAGTATTATTCACTTAAGGTGGAGAGGGTGAGATTTCCAGTGAAAATGGTGGGGTATTTTTTATAAATATTTTAATTAGTTTAGTGGTAGACGGTTTATAAATTTGTAAAAAATATAGGTGAAAGAAGAAGAAAGGGGTAAAATAGGAAATTATTTAATTTGGTGGTGAAATAAGATATTTTGAGGGTAGAAATAGCACGTCTCTTTAATTTGGTGGTGAAATAAGATATTTTGAGGGTAGAAATAGCACGTCTCTTTATTTAAAAATTAGGTCGTGAGAAAGCATTATCAACGTTCGAAGGGAATTTGGTAACGGAAACGCAAGTCGAACCACAAGTGGCCACAAATGGGCCATGCCGCAACATTCGCCATATGCCGCAACAATTTTAATGGCCATCTAGCGACATACACCGTATGACGCAACATTTTTTTGTATATCTATTTATGTGTTTTATTTCAGATCAATTTAGGTTGTGAGTAAGCATTTTTGCCGTTCGAAGGGAATTTGGTACCGAAAACGGAAGTTGAACCAAAAGTGGCTACAAAGGGGCCATGTCGCAACATGGACCATATGCCGCAACAGTTTCAATGGCCATGTAGCGCGACATGCGTCCAGGCTCGCGGCATGAGGATGCTGCAAAGTGTCATGCCGCGGCACAAACATGAAGTTGCGGCCTGAGGAAGTTCAAGAAAGATTTGATCAAGGACCTATGCCGCGACTCGCGACCTACTCCGAAAGATTATAAGGGCCGTGTCGCGACATTAAAAAGTGCATGTTCAATGCATAACGTATGAATAATTGATATGTAGGGTCATTGAGACAATGTTCAATATCATAAGATCAATACATATCCTTGAATTTTTTTTACCTTGACTCTAGTTCTTTATGATCATAGTTTATTTCCAATCTTACATATGATTGTTCCTAAAAATTGGTGTGATACATTTTTTTAGCATGAATAGTATCATATTTTGTCAATCTTATAACAATATCAAAGTAAATTAAATGTTTATTGAATTTGTAAATATATGAGATTCTACTTAAACAAAGTTATTAATATTTTGAATTTGTTTATGATAGATATAATGGATCTAATACCTTATTTTTTATTTAAAAATGAAATAGAATAACCTTAATTGACTACCAAAATAGTCGATTAACAATTTAAAATCGACTACCAGAGCATAGTCGATTAACTTAATCGACTACCAAAATACGTAGTCAATTAAGGGTCCAGCTTGCGCGAATTTCTCTATCAGGGTCGTCCTTCCGCCCGATCCACCGAAAAACCCTAGATTTGATTTGCCTTCCCTATCGTCACCACATCACCGCGACACCACACCATCACCACCCCACTTCGATAAGTTCTCGCCTCCGCAGCCTGCTGCACCACCACTCTCCGCCGCCTGCTGCACCACCATTCTCAACGTCGATATAAAGTACCACGAAAATATAATCTTCCCAAAACTCCAGAAAACCCACAACTTGCACCATATAAAAAATTCACTCATAAAAACCAACAACACCACACAAATAACAGAGACACAAATTGATATATACGCATACGAAAAGAAGCATTAAGATCGGTTGTAAACAAATAATCACCTAACAGCTTCTGAGGGAATTTCTTTGATAATTTATATACAAGTATAAATACAGGGGTAAATTAGAATCCTAATCTGGCAAATCCTGCGTTATGTTATGTCTTTCCGCTCCTCCCCCTTCCGGATCGACTTGCTGGAGTCGAAGGACGTGGTCCCCACCGCCGTCAAGTACCTCGCCGGAGACGAATTGGTTGCAGAAATCCTCGACAACATGACCCTGAGAAGGAGAAGGATAGTCGTTCTAGCGGCGTTGTTCTTCGCCTCCGGATCGAGCCCCGTTGTTGATAGCGATAGTTTGGAGAGGCGGGAAGCACCGGTTGTATCGGTATCCTAGAGATTTGGTGTATTGTTTCCTGGTTCGCTCTGAGCCATGTTCCATAGGGGAGGGTTTCACCGTGCTCGTCGAAATTTTCCTCGTATCTCTTCGGGCACATTTGTTCCCCATAAGAAACAGAAGTTCGGTAAACGCTCATAAGTAAAGTCCAACCAAACCCTAGCTCCGTTCGTTTCATGCAAGAAGAAACCTCTTTTGAGACTTTTAGACGTATCGATTTCAATTTCCATCCGCATATAGCTAGCTATGTCAAGCTGTCGAGATAGAGATGTGTTATTGTGACAAGCCCTGGGGTACCGTTACCACCAAAGCGTAACCAGATCCTGAGATTCAAACAAAAATTATAATTTAAAACAAACCCTAGAAAGCAAACATCAAATAGCAAAGCAATATAGACAAGTAAAGCGTGCTCGATCGATTCGGTGTGGAGATTCAAACGCAGAAACCCTAGCCAATCCACAGCTTATACAGTGATGATGAAATTCAGGCCTCTCATTGAGAAAGAATCCGAGAGTTTACTTGTTCCTTTGTTACTCTATATATTTTATGTACTCCTATATATCAACTACCGTTTTTTTCTTCGTTTGCTTTTTCTACTGTTTGATTGGACAAGGATTCTAAACTGTTAACCCTAAATAAACTATGGAATAAATTTTAACAATTGACTGAGAATTAAAACAGAGTTAAATTGTCAGACATGTCACATGATGAATGGCGTAGTCCATTTGGAATTTATTCCATTCCTAAAACTCTAACTTTAACTTCATTGAAAGAAAGAAAAAAATATCAAATGAAATAATTCATTTTGACATTTTACTCTTGTTTCTTAACTACCAAACAAAACTAAGGAAAATGGTTTCTATCGCTTTTCTTCCCATGACCCAAACATATTTGGAATTTTCAAATTCTTTGTTTTCATTTGCATTTTCATTTCCTTTTCCTGGGTTTCGGAATCCATAAACCAAACATAGCCTTAATGTAAAACCAGATGACGAGAGAAAGGCTTTTTTCCCTCACACACACACACACACACACACACACACACACTCAGCGTGTGCTTTGAAAGACCAAAGAATCCGTTTTACAAACAGAATCCAAGCAAAGGAAATAAACCGATATGAAGCTATTTCCTGGCAAGCAAAAGCCTAGTACGGAGAATTAAAGCATCAACCAAAAGACGAAAGAAAGCAGCGAGGAATAGCAAGAATTCCGACCATGTTTGTTATAGTCACACTTTCTCACCAAGCAAAGTTTACACAGAATAGCCGCCCAGAAATCACAGTTTGGGTTTATGTACTAGCAACCACAAAATAATTGGGTTTTTTTTTTCTTACAGTTTTTACCTTTATCACCACTTTGTTACTCCCTATACATCAAATTTTCACAGAGAATACAAACAATTGGTATTTGTCCCTACAGCACCTTTTCGTTTCAAAGTATTAGAAAGAAACGTCCAGCAGCGAGAATCCAGTTTCACCCAGGTTATGTAGCAGCATCAGGTTTTTCATTGATCCTGGAATCCCTGGATCATCTGTTAACATGCATCATAAAGTGCATGAGAAGGAGTTACCTATATATATATATATATATAGGTACTGGAATTCTAATCAGTTACTAAATGCTGCTGCCATTATAAGTATCACCAAAATGTTTACAAGAAACAAAGTCAAAAATGCAAATACTATCTTAACGAAGTTGGTATATCAGCAGAGCATCTTGTGGGTACAAAAATCATACAAGCAGATTGATCATCACCTAAACGACCAAGGTCACAATAATCACCTATATTTTGACATTTTTCTACAGTGGGTGGTGATCGAAAACACACTCAACCATAGAATTATCTTAATTTATATGATGACACAAACATATGAATGTAGAATACAAAGGAAGACAAGCAAGCCGCTGTTATCTTGATGTACATTAATCCCACAATATTGAGAATTTATCGAGCCATTGATAAACCATAAATAGTTGTCTAAAAAATCCAACTCCAGTTCCACTTAACTTGAATAACAAGCAATGCACTGGCTACTTTTATGTTAGCATATGGGTCAGATAGATACTTGGGCCTTAGTCCATTTTATGAAGCATATTGAGAATCCATCAATTGCAGAAATAACTCGTAACGCTGATTCACAATACATCTAGGATATTTCTCAAACCATCGGTTACTAACCTCTTCCGCAGAAGTTCCTTACAAGAATTGCTGCGTCCGCCTCATTAGCAACGTTTAAGCGCCAAGATTCATCAAGCAGCTGAGCAACAACAGCAGCTGGGCAATTCTTGAAATCTTCAAAAACAAGCAGTCCAGCAGTCCTTTCCAACTCTTCTAAGAGACTTTTCTGAAATATTCACATTATATAAAATTGTATATAAGTTCACAAATCAATCTGAAAAAAAAAAAAAAAAAAAAGTTACATCGGTCTCTGCAATTGGAGCAAGTTCCACTTCTCCGATTTTTAAAGCTTCATCTGCATTCCCATTCCGGATCCTTTCGATCATGCGTTGCAGATGGATATGGAAAGAGAGTCGAGGATTTGTTCCCATTATCTGCAATCAACATTATCAACATGTATTGGTTTAATACCAAAGTATAGAAAGCAAATTAATTATTAGCACAACGGTACATGCCATAAAGATGTATAATTACCAAACTCAGACAACAGACATGTTTACTACCTAAATCATGAAATCCTTGATGAATTGAAGTTGCTTGTAAGTATTATCGCAAACTTAAAAATGCTTGTGAAAGCAAACGGAGTTGCAGTAGACCGCATCGGGCAATTTATGGTAAACAAATTCCAGCCTAAATACTGTGCGAATAAAGAAACTCTGCCTGGAATTTGTTCTCACCGAGAAAACTTTCTTGCAACAAAAAGAAAGTATATAGACTCGTTGATATTTACGACACTCGTGAAGGTGTTATCAGGTATAAACTACGACGCATGGCAGTACAAACAAAACAAGAGTCTTATCCTTAAGCATAAAGTACCCCAAATAAACTATCCACATAATCTAACATTTATTTTAATTGACAAATAATATTTACCACAAAATGACAGACATTCAGAGAAAAGAAAGATAACTAAGGGACTATCAGTTTGTTCAAGAACTCGAAACACGATCAAATAATAATACAAGAACATTAATAAATTAAAACAAAAAATAATGAAGAAAAAAAAAAGTTATTGTACCTCGTTCAGGAGCTCGACAGTCTTTGCTAAACTGCCTATCGAAATCGATTCCTTGACAGCCAATCGTAAATCCATCATTTGAATACAAATTTCTGCTGTAATATTACATTAAGGAATTCTAAAATATTTCGAATTAAAACATAAAATTTAAAATAAATGAAGCTGGTAAAAATAAATAAACAATAAGGATGCGCTCGGTTCCTGATTCAAGCTCAAAAGATGTAACAGCATCCTTGTAACCTTCGGTCACCATGAAATTCATGATTATTCGATTCATATAAGTTTTTGCAGATTCGGTTGACTGACCCTGCAAAACAGAATCAAAAGATAAAAATTAGTGCAAAATATGCGGCGGCGGACAGGTGGTGGTGGTGGCGGCGGTGGCGGTGTATACCATCGCTTTCAATTCGCCGATCGTCGTGTCGTCCGAATGTGAAATGACCCGAAAATGCTTAGAGAGCGTAACTGCTCTAATTTTGGGGTAATTTGTATTATGCAAATTAGGGGTAATTTTATATCAATTATACCCTTTTTCTTAGTTATTTTTTGGGTAAATTACAAACACCCCCTGAGGTATGGTCAAATTACAAAAACACCCCTCTTGTTTGGATAATTACAACCACCCCCTCAACTCATCAAATTTAGTGGAATCTTCGAGATTATATGGAATATTATCACTTGTGTACCCGTTTTATCCCATTCAAACTCTACATTATGAAGCAAGATGATCATAATATGTCATTTTTAGCTTGTATATATCAGTTTGTGGTGCATCAGAAACTGTATTTTTTACACAAAAAGAGTACAAACTAGAGCACATTTCACGGAATCTAGATGACTATGTTGAATTTGGCACCATAAAGGTGGAGGTCTAAGAAAAAGTCATAGTTGAGGGGGTAAATGTAATTATCCAAACAAGAGGGGGTTTTTGTAATTTGACCATACCTCAGGGGGTGTTTGTAATTTGCCCGTTATTTTTTTAAAGACAAGTCTCCTCTTTCATTATTTTACAATCATAATATTTTTCAGTACGGTAAATTTATCAAAATTTGAATTATTAAAAGCAAATTAAAAAAATTCGAAAGATTTAAAAAAGTATTTTATAAATAATACAATAATAATAAAACAAAATCTAATAAACAAAAAGAATTTTATTAAAATTAAAAATCATCAAAAATGATAAATGCAGGTCCAAAAATGTTAAATGTAATTGGGCGAAAATTGTATATAAGGATAGAATAGTACTTTTGCCTCCTCAGGGATATCTCAAAGAAAAAATATTTAGACATGGACCTAACCCAATATATTTTTCATATTAGGAGTATATATCAAAAGGCCCCTTAAAATAATTTGCTTACACACACATTGCACGCTTTGCATACATACATTCACACACACACACACATATACGTCATATTTGAACTACTTATTCTAAGTTGTATCCATTATTACGTCTCCCATATTGTTGGTATTGTTCATCTTTACACATATTACTTATGCATCTAACACTTGGTACACATGCAGGTGACTGGTAGCATTTTGTTACAGAAGATGTGGTACTTTGGAAACTTTGAAAAACATTATGTCAAAATTAGCGATATCGATCATCATTGACACCGCTATATATTATTTAAATTATATATTTAAAGTTGTACGTTGAATTCCACTTTGATATAGCTACAACTTGTACACCATATATCGAGCATTTATGTTTTAAGAAAAGTTTGCACTATGCTTCCAAAATATATTACAAAATCATAGACCAAGTAATTAAATGTTTTGAAAAAAAAATATATCAAAATTTACCAAGTAAAATTGACCGAAAATGTTAAAATTATATAGTGGAAAATGGCTCAAACAAACACTTATATTTATAGGCTTAACGGGGGTAATTTAGTCATATTTTGGAAAAAAATATAACAGTAGGGGGGTTTTTGTATTTATGGGTAGTACAGAGGGTATATTATACAAAGTCCATAGTACAATGGTATTTTTGTATTTAACCCTTTATTTTATCACCAGAGGCGTAGAGGTGGTGGTTTTCTTCTTCAACTAAGTAGTTTTTTTGTGCATATGGGAGTTTTCTTCACGGCATAATTCTTGAACGTGATAATCTAGGGTTTTTTTTCTTCTATTTTTTATTAACTAATAAAAGAAAAGGAAAATGAATTAAAGGGATATATTTTTGTCCATTCCAATAGGTGGGAAGTGGCGTATAAAAATAAACAAACAACCGAGAGTTAATAGTTTAAAAAATTAAGGAGTTATGTGTAAGTTGAGAAGGGGTTTTGGTACTTTTAAATACAAAAACCCTATTAAATACCCATACTAAAAAAAAAGAAGATTATTATTATCTAATAAATGCATAAAATTCGGTCATGTAAAGCTATTATGCATAATAGGGTGATATAAAGCTAGAACACTTATGGCTTAATTTGGCATAACATACACGTCAGAGAATTACACGTAAAGTGTTAAAAATCACAAATGAAATCCTACTACATACTAAATGGGCCTCGAGAACTTTGGCAGATCTTATCAATTCTTTCGTGAGTAAGGTAGTCGAAGACCCCTTGGTAGCCTCGCATGCTCAAGGACGTATAGAACCTAACTGCTGCATCGAATATATCAGATTTCTCGCGTTCATCAATTGTATTTGCCATCGCCTCTCGAACAGATTGGCCAGGAGGGATCATGCGAAGCAGCTTCAGCCCCTCCTCCTGATTTCCTCGTAATTTCTCTAACACAATTGGATTAGTCAAAAGTCGGTTCACCACAAAATCTGTGTCACCACTAACAAATCGAGAGCGCGCATTCATAATCCAGCTTCTGGCCTCGCTTAGTAGTCTTTCAAGACGGGACTGCGTGCAAAATGTGACATCTGTTATGTTCGGATTGGTGGATATAACCATGGCATTTACTGCATCAGCCACCAGCTCCCGTTGAGATTCTTCAAGGAGGTATCGAACACTAGACGGCTCTTCGTACATCACCAAGGCTTCACATGCCTAATCAGAATCCGTGAACAAGAAAAAATCTCAAGATTTATTTACTAAAAGCCCAAACATTTTTGGAATACAACATATCAAACTATGCTAAGCAGTGGACTTGTAATAAAAAACCAAATTCTGTTTGACCCTCTACCTTTACAAGATCGGAAGACCATGCCAAGTCCTTAAATTTATCAAATTCACTTCTGCCATACCGTTTCGCTTCATCTAGCTTCCCATGCTGCAATAAATTATCGGACTTGGGTTAAAAATGTTTCCAATTTTCATTAAAAGAAAAATAATAATAATAATAATAATAATAATACAGGCACATCAACAATTGATTGTACATGCATAGAAGAAAATAAATGACAAGTAGAGTTCATAGACATACGAATATACACCGTCACATCAAGCAAATAAGAAAAAATATGATTACCCGAATAAGCTCAATAAAATTTTGACAATGTAGCAAAAGGCAAATAGCTGAGGTTTGATCCTGCAAAGAGTTGAACCATTATCAAATTATGAAATAAATTAAACATTAACCATGAAATGGAGGCAATGTTTTTTTATTCATAAAAATAAGATTTGTTCATGCAGCACTTCACTACCTACAGTAATTAAGTGAATTCACCTAGAGAGAGGGGAGGGGGTAATAAAATAAAAGAATGCTAGAAAAAGGGGGAAAACAGAAACTTTCAACACTAAGAGCATATGGAAAGCTGACTACATAAAACAATGAAGACAATCATAAGTTAAAATCATTTCAACAGAAATAAATCAATATTATCTACCTGAGTGATCTGAGGATACCATTTCTCAAGTTCAGAAAACGACCCCTCGATGTCACCGGACTGTATTAACTACATAACCAAATAACAATATATTAATCAATCAACACTTGTGTGCAAAGAGAATCAGTTTATGAAGCCTTATCATAACAGTAAAACCAATAATAGCACACAGAAAGTCAGAAACACAAGCTTATCTACGACGAAATGAAAAATTAGCAGAAATATCAGAAAGAAGAAAGTATGACATAAACTTAGACGTTGTGTTTTAAATAAGTGACCTTAGGGTTGGCAAAGACTACTGGTTGATAAATCATAGCAACATTTTTCATGTGGATTTGTTAACACGAAAAGGAGTGTTTGTACCTGACGAATAATACTCCTACTCTCCAAGCCGTACAGGCTGCTGTCTTCAACGTTATCACGATTTTCTTGAACTAAAGAGATGGAACTTTCAACAGCTATGTCAAACAGTTTAAGAGTCTCTTTATATCCATAATGTTGCAAGTAGGATCGAATTATTCTGAAATCAAAATACCAATATAATTATAAAAAAAATTACAAAAAAAATATCAGTTGCAGATCTTAGACTAAAGTGTTCCAATAAGACTGTAAAGTAAAATCTCGTATATTATTGTCATGATTTTATTCTATTCTGCAAATAGGATGTTTTCGCTTTGAAAAAAAATGCATCAATTTGTATGACGATATTTTCTAAACAAGAAAGGAGACTTATAAACGTGTACTGTCATTAGTGGGGATATGAAGTCAAATTTATTTTTCACTGACGATCATTATCATCAAAACTTGTAGAACTTACCCATAGCTGTCGGCATAGTGTCGTATTGAGAGATTTTTAATTTGTAAGTGGTATTTAGCTCTCTGTTCAGCTACATACATCTGTACAATGGATTAAAAAACTTCAGAATACAGTATGACATTTCTCACAGTTTCAGTAAACACTCCTTACTTCTTCTCTTAACATAAATCATGAGTTAAGGTAAAGTTAATGTATAAAGATAGGCAATGAAACGACAACGTTGAGACAGTCAGATATTTAAAAGTGGAAACAAGTAGAAGAAACTATGATGAGGTTTAAAATAAGATCTGAAAAAACACGACAAACAATAAAACTTGACAGCTCATAATTTAAAAATCGGTGGATTATGTGGTACTAACATGACTTGGTGGAAAATGAGCTTGCTCACAGAAGAAAGGACTTAAACAGAGAAAAGAAAATAAGACTTACTTTGACATCAAAGACAAATGGAGTCTGTCCAAAGTTTACAGATATCTTGCCCCTATGAGATCAACATCATCAACATTTAACTATCAAATAAATCAATCAGTAATTAGCCCCCCATGGGACAAAAAACAAAAACAAAAATGAAGTAAAATACATACTCCTCGATAACTCTACGATGATATGCTTGCATGTCCTTGAAAGAAAGTCTAGGAAAATATCCTTCCGGGCTCTTGGTAGTAACTGTAGGATACACTGGACCATTGGCATTGACTTGTTTATGCACAGACTGTATAAGAACCCCATTTTTTCTGTAACAAAATTCACAAGCAAAACAAATGTATGAAACAATAAATACTAGAATAGCATTAGAAATTATTTTTATAGTAGAAATGTGAATAATGCTTAATTAATCCAGATGGGAGATGCCTTACGTGAAAAAGAATTCCTCAGTGACGTAGTTGATACCAGCACCGATGGTATCCCCAGCGTTGAAGGTTGGGCCAAAAACGTCTTCAGTGTTATATCCACACGAAATATGCCCATCGTAAGAATATTCCCAAGCGTCTGGTTCTCGGCTGTTTTGAGTCGATAAACAACCATAAGAAACAAATTCTTTCGACCAGTTGGATAGATTTCTCAATTATTTATTTCGAATTTCTTTTTTGCCGTCTCACAATTCAAATCTCATTCTCCTCGTACATGTGTTATAATGTTTTATTATATCAAGAAATCAAACAGAAATCAGTAAGGACTAAAAGGAAGAAGAAAGTAAAAATATGATTAAAATAAACAGTAAGCAAGCACATAGGAGAAGACGAAATTTCTTTGCTACCAACAAACAAGGCACATATCTTTGTAGCTATTCCAATTAACACTAAATCTCCGGCATATATAATTCAATTAAAATCGCCAAATACAACAACTAGTCTACAACGCAACCTCTAACCCTAAAAATAAATACATACGAAGAACAATAAATCCAGCAAAAAACCCCAAATATTAAATTCAAAACACCCCAAATATCAATTCCAAAAACCCTAAATAAAAAGAACCAAACAAATTCACAATTGTAAAACATACCAGTGTTCACGATTTTTCAATGTATGAAACCCGATGGCAATCTGCGGCTTTTTGTGAACAAATTCAAAGTAAAATACAGTCCTATTCGACGGAGCAGGGTAATTTGTCCGAAATATAATGACGAAGGGCCTGAAGACATCATCGGATAGAACTTGATTCAGCGCCATAGGAGGATGCTTTTCCGAAATTTGGCGCCACTGTGCCAAAAAGTACGAGTCAATCGCCGACGATTTGCTCTCCTCCCACGTCTCTTCCAACATTTTTTTTCTCTGGTTTGAATTTGAGGAAAATTTGGAAGATAATCAAAATTGAAGACGGAGAAGAAATGTACAGAAGAGAGATGCCGCGGGAATGGTCTAGAACGAAAAATCAAATAATTCGTGGGCGCGGATTTTGGGCTTCATCAAAAACTATCGAATATTGACTAATCAAAAAAAAAAAAAAAAACTATCGAATTATTGTAATATTTATATTTATTAGGGGTTAATATGTTGGGGATTATTTTATTTTAGAGATCCTATTCGAAAGGGGACAACTATTTTGAATACTAGTTTTTGCTTAGTTGAATACCAAAAAAATAAAAAATAAATAATTAATTGTAAATTACTTTAATACCCTTAATGAAAATTAAAACCAAAAATATTACAAATACTATTTTTCTTTCTTAAAAACCAAATAATCAAAAACCTAAAAAAAACATTTCCCTCTTAAAAACCAAATAATCAAAAACCTAAAAAAAACATTTCCCTCCTCACTCACAAACCCCTCACCTCCTCCACCTCCTTCTTCTCCCTCCCCAAAAACCCTCCTAAAAAACCCCAAAACAAAAGAAATCAAAACCTTACACAACTTGCAAAATGGCCTCAAATGACAATAGAATGGTAGTTTACGAGCAAGGAGAACCCATTCAGGTATGTATTCATGTATTTTTTGAGCTAAAACATCGATTTTGAAATTTTTTTTTTTTTAAAACTCGCCATGTATTTTCGACACTTAAGTGTCGAAAATATGGGTAATTTTCGACACTTAAGTGTCGATTTTGTTCCTGTTGCAAATTTACTTGTCTTATATTTTCGACACTTTTGTGTAGATCGATTGCACCCATTCATTTACCACGTCAGAAAAATTCCCAACAAAAGAAGCTTTAATGGCATGGGTTCGTGAAGTATGTAAAAGAATTGGAATGGTGTTAATGATTGGGGGTTCGAGTGACGGGGATAGAGGACGTAGGACACCGTATGTGATTGTTCGTTGTGAGCGTGGGGGCCATTATGTTGGCAAGAAGGTACCAGGTGAAGATGATCAAAGACCGGGAAAAAGGAGCACCGGTTCAAAGAAATGCAATTGTCCGTTTAAATTGAAGGGGACAAGAGAACACAAGGATGATGAAAAGGCTGAGTGGAAATTGGATGTTAGTTGTGGTATTCACAACCACAACTTATTCGAAAACTTGCACGGACACTCTTATGCCGGAAGATTATCAAAGGAGGATGTTTCCTTTGTTCACACTATGAAGAAAGCAATGGTGAAACCAAGGGCAATTCTAAGAGCATTGAAGCAAAAGGACCCGTCTAATGTAACTGGTATGAAGACAGTTTACAATACTATCTCTAAGTTAAATTTCAGTGAATTGGATGGGAGATCTCAATTGCAATCATTGTTTGTCAAGTTGAAAGAAGATGAATACCTCTCGTACCATAGATCGAACGAGTTGAATGCGATTACCGACTTGTTTTGGATCCACCCGAAATGCATTAAGTTGGCACAGTCGTATCCGTACGTATTCGTCATCGATTGCACGTACAAGACCAATCGTTACGGACTCCCATTTCTTGAGATTGTGGGTTTTACTTGTACCAACAAGACGTTCTCAATTGCCTTTGCTTACTTGGACCACGAAAAGACGGAAAATTTTGAATGGGCGTTGCGTTGTTTGAAGGAGGCCATGACCAGTTGTCCTCGGCCTAATTGCATTGTAACAGATCGAGATTTGGGTTTAATGAAAGCAGTGGCCAATGTGTATCCATCGAGTCATCACTTGCTGTGTCGGTGGCATGTGAACAAGAATATAGTGGCCAATTGTAAGAAATTGTTCCCAAAGGACATCACCAAATGGAAGCAATTTCAGTCGAGTTTTTCGGCTCTTATTGAAAGAAATACCATAGAGGAGTTCAATGAGGATTGGGAGGATTTGAAAAGAACATTTATGGGTTATCTCCCGGCTATAGAGTATGTAGCTAATTCATGGTTGGATCCGTACAAGGAGAGACTTGTATCGGTGTGGACAAATAAGTATACTCATTTTGGAACGTACACTTCTAATAGGGTGGAGGGGGCACACGGACGAATGAAAAGGGATGTGCGTAATTCAACTGGCACATTTGTGGATTTGTATACGAAAGTCCACAATCAAATTGTCGAACAACACAATGACATCAAGGCTTCCTTTGAAGTAAGTAAAAATACTTACGAGCACACTTTCAAAACGTTGATATACAATGAGCTTCGTGGAAGTATCTCAAAATACGCTCTGCAACTACTCAAAGTTGAGGTGGACAATGCGAAACTATTGCAACCGAGCGATATGGGTTGTAGTTGCGCCATCCGAACAACCCACAGTCTACCATGTCGCCATGAACTTCATGAGTATGTTGTTGTGAACAAATGTCCTATCCCACTTGAGTTAATAGGCTCGTATTGGAAACACATGAGTATGGAGCCCGTCGCGACCACAGGCCAAGTCATCCTACCAACCATCGACGAAGAATTATCGGAATACCAGAAGCTCTTTGAATGTGCCGATCTCGATGCAAAAACTCGATTGCGCAACCATTTGAGACATTTTACCCACCCAGAGAATACTAACCTTACGGAGCCAAGTGAAAAAGTTGTTAGCAAAGGTCGACCGGCAAAAAGTAGGAAAGACAAATCAAGCACTCGGGACAAATCACATTTTGAGTATGTGGAGCCAAAGAAAAAAAAATCGAAGCAAGCTAGTTGTTCTCCAAAGGTAAATGTCGCTACTATCGTCTCATTTCATTGAAGTTGTATTTTATAATTGTGCTCAGTGTAATATACTGCAGCTTATACCTGTACTGATGAGATTACGAGGGCATTCGAATGATTCTTTCAACACTATACCAACTCAAGAGTCAGGAAAAAGCACTATACCGACACAAGAGTCGGTCAAACCATTATTTGAAGATGCAGATGTGGGATTGCCACTAGGTTTGATCGGCAAGAATAAGTACATTGACACGATCCAATTCATGTAGTCCGGCGAAGTGTCCGCCTCCCCGAGTTCAATTTCAACGGACCTCGACTCCTCGTCCAGACAATACTCCTCCCACCGATCAGAGAATCGTTCGCCGTACGCAACGAAAATTGAGTTCTGGACCGGTCGACCTTTGCTAGCTAGAGCTTTGTACATATCTTTTGACATGTATGCACGACCTGGAATGATTTGCACCCGGTTGAACTGCCTCAACACTCTGTCCGGATGATATGCCTCGAAGTGGTCCATGCAACATATCATCCCACTAAACCAAGCAGAATCTGGCATCGGGAAACGATCACGAATAGCCGTATACGGTGACCATAAAACCTAGTAAAATAAATAAAAAATTAGATGTAAAAACCTACTTAAGTAGTAATAACAAATTATTAAACTGGTATGTTACCTGATCGGGGATCAAATCATCTAATCGAGATCGCAGGTACGACGCTCGTTCAGGCGTTGAAGTAGTCTTTGACTGAGGCTCCCATCGGCTCGCTAATGGCCCCTCGAATTCCGTCTTCAATGTGCCACCCCCCAAATAAGGAAAGTGCTCGTAAATCCATGACTGAAAGAGCGTCAGCCAGCCAGCCATCGAGTTCGTTGATTTTTGTGAGGCTGAGGAAAGCTCATCGTACAACCGGCAAAGACATGCAGTGCCCCAAGCATACTCGCCGATCCGATCCAAATCAGATACAAGATTTAGGTACTCAACGCTTACCATGTTGCCTGTCTTGTCGCACAGTATAGTACACCCGAGCAAAAATAACAAATACGCCCGAATGGCGTATGTCCTCTTCTCCGCACTATCTCTCATGGTCACTTTGCTAAATTTAGCCTTCAACCATTCCAACTTGACCGCTTTCTTCTTGTTTACATCGTCCGGGTACTCACCTAGCAACTCGAACATCAAAGAACTGGGAATGGTTTTGGAATCACGGACCAAACGCTCGCAAGATACGGTACGCCCAACAACTGGCAAACCGACCAACGTACTCACATTGTCAAGTGTGATGGTCATCTCTCCAACAGGTAAGTGAAATGTGTTGGTAGCTGGCTGCCATCTCTCGACGAAGGCTCTAAGTAGATGGCCGTCCACAGTGTTGTACGATGCCTGTACAACTGACATTAAACCACATCTTTGTACTACCTCTGTAATAAACGGCGCCGGCTCCCAACCTTTCAAGGTTCCTGTGTGATTTCGTATTCGAAATTCTGAGCCGCGCTCCGAACGATCTGGCCCTCCGTTCACAATATGATAAGCAATGTGCTTATCAAATTTTGTGTACAATTCCGGTATCTCGGGACCTAGGACCGGTTCGTTGCTCGAATCACCAACTTCTACAGTCGAAGGTAGAGCCGGCACCGGATTCGTTGACGAAGAACCCTCTCCAGACTTCTTCTTGGTCGTGGTCTTTTTCTTGGTCGTGACTGCTATGCCCTTGCCTCTATCGGATAATTCCTTCCTCTTCTTACGGTTCGAGACAGTCGGAGGTATACGAGGTTCACGTGGTTCTTCCACTGCAAAATAACACGCAAATAAAATAAT